CAAAATTTTATTAGTCGCAGAAAAAATTTAAATAAAAAAATCCACAGGTGAAGTCACGCAGTTTGCGACGGACAGATCGTTAACGGCTAACGTTAGTCTATGGTAATACAGTACATCAGTCAGGACATCCAAACGCTCGCCTATCATTCATCAACCTCAAATATGGCTTATCATCTGATATATGCAAGTATTAGAAACTTTACATGGCCGCTCAATCTAATGTTAACCTAGAGAAATTAGCGCTAAAGTGTCTGTGTGGAGTGTGGAAGCTAGTAGCACGCTCACTGCAGGACAGATGGAGGCGTCGGTGCGGTCACTTGCTCCTAAAATACTCCCTCATTTTTGGTCATACAGATAAGAGTAATGCATCTTTCAAATCTGTATAGACTCTACGTTTATTTGTGCGCACTCACAATCACAACAAAACATTGCGCATTTGTAAAATAATGAAAGCAAACAGGATGCGCTTTCTGTCGTCTCGGTCTGTGAACTTGAGCACAAAACTCTGTGTATATCTTTGCCTTACAGACATAAAAAATATATCTACAGAGAGTGAAATGTCTACTTTCAAATGAACCAATTCAAATGGAAAACAAATTCTCCAATCCGTATGAAACAAGTGTGTCCACTACAGCGGAGATAACGTGTCGCAGAGTTAATCTCTTAAGCCGAAAACAAAGAAAACACTAGTTTATCAAATTGTTAAAATGTTAATGCAGTCTCCTTACTGTTTTTCCCTGACACATTCATCATCATTACTTCTGCCGGTGTGCTGTGGCAAGCTTTATGTGTGCGCTTGAGCGCTTATTAGGCTATGTAGGCAGTTAAAGGCTCATTATTATGATTTAAATGGTTTATTAATAAACGTGCAATTAGTCGACTAATGCTTAAAATAAACGACTACTAGTCGACCAGAAAAATCCTTAGTCGAGGGCAGCCCTAGTACATATTATGATGTGTGATTTTGTAATGACTTTAATAATCATTTTTGATCTATTCTAAATATTAGGGCTGAAACGATTCCTCGAATACCTCGAGTAACTCGAATACAAAAAATCATCGAGGCTTCGTTTAGTCCATTTACTGTAACTAATGCCTTAGTTTTAGTTTGTACTGTTTACCTTTTTTAAAGTAATGTGAAATTGATTTTAGTTTTTTATTTATATTTTTTTTATTTTATTGATATATTTGTATTTGCATTTTGAATGCAATTTGCTCGATGGAATAATCTGTAGAATACTCGATTACTAAAATAATCGATAGCTACAGCCCTACTAACTATTCTATTACAAGTTATTCTATCACGATTTCAGCAAATCTTTGTTAGCCGATTCAATAACATGACATCAGAAATTGTAAAATCAAAAACTGCAACAACAATAATGAATGAATCACGTTCATGCTAAGTGTGCAAAGAAGCATAACAACATGTAAGAGTAAAGTGAGAATGCAGTGCTAGGCCAATAGGACAAGTGACAGCTCCATCAGCCGGTCCAAAACCATCCTTATTGGTGTATTCCGAGAGCTTACCAAAAAACTGTAAACCAGGAAAATGTGTAACTCACTGGCTCCCAGTAATTGTAGGTTTCATCACAGTCTGAGATGTTACTGAGTAGCGCAGCACAGAAGCGGGCTGAAACCAGGCACTTGAAGGCCGTGGAGCCCTCAGGAGCCCACACCTGTCCTGCCTTACTGGATGACCTGTAAAGGAGAGGCGGGGGATAGGAGCTAATGTGCTTATCTGGGAGCAAACTAATAAGCAATATGGGAACAGAGCACAGGGTTATACAAGGTTGTCATTCATTTATTTCAGTATTAAAACAGTATCAGTCTAAAACTCATCCACAAGCATAACCAATGCAGATGTGCATGAGACATTCCAGATTTTCACACCGAACAAAACACAACAACGTTGATCGAGGGTCATTTTATTCCTCATGCGCTGTATTACAATGTAAGAAGATTATGAAATTGGACATGCGCGAATGTGCACCTGACACATACAGCATCAAATATAACTTATATGCAATAAAAATTGTGCCACTATCTAGTGTCACTAAGGCAATGCAGCTTATGAACCACAAACGGCATATATTTAAAAAGAACAGTCATGATATAAAGCATGTGTTTTGCAGCGCTGATCGGTGTTTGCACGCCGTAAGAGCTGCGATGTGAGTGAACGAATGAATGAATGAATGAAAGCCGTCATGTTACACTGAAGCGAGCTTATTCGTGTCGCATGGACAATACATTTTACTATTTCGGTCTCTCCCCGCTGTATTCGTGTTATTTAGATAGTCTATTGGCATTACATGTGTATACTCTCTGTATTATTGGCATATCCAGACAGCCTGATGTTAGCGAGCTAGCGAGCTGTCAACAGCACAACATTACACCGCGCGGGAGCTGGACTGGCTTATGGGTACTTACTCGTTTCGGGGGTCACTGGACTTATTGTCCTCAACATATTTGTCGTCTTTTGCTGCTCGGTTGTCAGCGGTAGGTGTGCTGTTCACGTTGTTCGCGTCTTGTTTGCTCCCCCGTCTGTTGCGCTGACGGAGACCCTTCGTCGCCATGTTTCTACTGGCTGCGCGTGACGTCATCACTAGAGGACCGCAGGACAGGGGCCTGTTTCATCAAACAAGTTTACCAAATAAGCCAGGCTTATTTCAGTTAGTCTGATTTATTGTCAGCTGATTTGTTTCAAAATAAGTAAACTATATATTTTGTTTAATCAATTAATTTGACTTTCTAAATATGCTCTGGTTAGGCTAAGCTAAGTTATTTGGGTACTTTTTAACCATTAACCACTTCTTTAATTAATTGTATCAAACGTGATACGACACAAACCAGAAAATACCAGAAAATATTAGAATTCAATCAAATCTGGGGGCAAGATTTCATCAAACAAGTTTACCAAATAAGCCAGGCTTATTTCAGTTAGTCTTACTTATTTTGAAACAAATCAGCTGACAATAAATCAGACTAACTGAAATAAGCCTGGCTTATTTGGTAAACTTGTTTGATGAAACAGGCCCCTGGTTCAAGGAGAGCCATTAGTGAGAGGATGGCAGGAACTAGCCTGTGTTGTTTTAGTATAATTGACAAATTAATGTTGTGTTGTTGTTTTGCTATTTTAATTTAAATTTTTTGTATATTCCGTTTTCATTTGAATTTTACAGTTTGAGTAATTTTATTTAATTTGTATTATTTTTTTAATATATGTCTATATAGTTTTTATTATTAATTTATTTTTCAGTTTTAGTTATTTCAGTACATCAAGTTTAACTAAATGAAAATGAGAAATGCTTTTTTGGCGATTTTATTTCAAGCAACGATTTTTTTTTTACTATAATAACCCTGCTGCTAACGATTGTCCGAAGTGTTTTAACAAACATTTCATAACACAATTTTCTCATCTTTTCTCGTTCAGAACATTTTGCACATATTTAAGCCAAATGAACTAATCTTGTTATTGGTTTATGTAAGTATTGTTATATAATTATAATAATATTGTTATCAACCTTCTTACACCATTGTACTATGGTACAATCATGGTATGCTATCAGATGGCAATAACTGTTATTGCCATCAAATAGCATACCATGATTGTACCATAGTTACAATATGGTACATTGTACCATATTGAATAACATGGTACTGAATGATTAGAATATTCATATGCCATGATGAAACACTGTAAAGTAACCTGCATTTGTTCATTTAAAGACCTGATTTAACCCATAAAGATTCATTTGTATTGATTAGCTGGTATGTTTTTAGCTAAGTCATGTTAAATAAGTTGTGAACAAAACGAGTTAATTTAGAAATAATTACCATTTTTCACTGTCTTATCATATGTTTATGCTTGTTATTGTGGCTTTGTGTATTAGCAAATGGCCCTAAATTTAAAAGCTAGGCCTCATGTGGCATGATGACTTTAACATTTTCTTTACTCTTCAACATTTTTATTAGATTCTTTTGATTTAAGAATAAACACATTTTTCCTGCTTTATTTTGTTGTGAAAATGTAAAGATTTTACACTATAGTGTTCTTAGTACTCTCAAACAGGACCATAATTTCATAATGAACAGTTTTGTGCGGGTGCAATGATACATGAAACCAAAAAAAAACTTTTAAAAAACCTGCACACTTGCTAAATGCTCAAAAAATTATTTAATGACAGACCTTAGGATGTTACATTTGCATTTTTGGAGTCTGCACCTTACAAAATATTACTCTGGTGTGCATTTGTTTTTAGATATGTGCCATGATTAAAATGGTTCGTAAATGGAATTTACATATCTATATATGGAATTCAAACCAGTCTTTTCAGGTTCAAAAAGGACCAGGGATGAAATGTTTACCTCTTTTGGGCTTAATGAGCAGGTTATACCAGCAGTTTGAGCATCCCAACCAATACAACACTTTTTGACCAAACAATGGAAAACAGGTTAGTTTTAGGTCATCTGTGTGTGGCAATAGCCATTAATTTTGCAATTCCATTTGTTTGAAAAATGACACACTTCAGTATACAGCAATAACTTAAATAACATATAGCATATGTTATTTATGTTAACATACAGCATAGATACATATAGCATAAATAACATATAGCAATATAACAATTTACAGTCACGATCATAAACAATCATAGACATTCCAGAAATATCACAGTATCAAATGCAGATAATGTAAACACACATTATGTGCCATACAAAGAAAATAGGAAAATTTGTTCATTTTTTTTAAATGTATCAGATGAAATGATTTGCAGTTGTGCATCGATAATTACATCTCTAAGTTTCTTAACTGAATACATCCCTAAACATGCATAATCAATTTCACATAGGAGAGAATGCAATTTATAATATTTTCATTTTTTTTCCTCATTGCAAAGTACTAAACAGCAAGGAAAGGTAACACAGTACTACTGAAATCTGTAAACATTTCTTGGATAACTTAATAAACCCACAATATTTATAATGTAAAATTTTGATTAATCAGCGTAACAAGCAATATGTAAACATGATAGGATTTCAAACGGCAACAAAAAAATCCTTTGTCAGATATGTCAGAACAAATCAGTCAAAATAAACACTCTCTTTTGATCTAGAAAGTTAACCTTCATCATTAAAAATTAAAATCTGAGATTATTTATCCATTTGATCCACTGTCACCGAAGCCTCTTCAATCACCTCAGCGTGACCTGCAGACGCAGGGGTAACAGTCTCCGCAGCTGATTCTGCAGTCCCAATGCCTGGCTGTGTGAGAGGGCCTGATCCGGCGACTGATAGGTCAGCCTATAGCAGAGGCTTGCATGACCCATGTGTGGGTGTCTGAAGCGATCCACTAATGCCATATCCTTAACAGCACCGCAAGACGCCTCTCGCACAAGTGCATGGAAGTCCAGTTCATCATAGCTTTCTGGTTCCATCCAGAAACTGATATCATGCAAGTAGCTTGGTGGGTAAAGGGAGAAAGGACTGAAAGGTCCAAGTGGATTGAGCTCGAAATGCTTAAGAAACCGAGGATCGGCGCTCCAAAGTAAGCGGCAATCAGAAATGCCAAAAATCAGGGTAGCTAAATGATCCAAGTTTATTGAGACCGCGATTAACTGCAAACCTTCAGCGAGGGCTGAGGAAAAGGAAGGCAGATACGCGATCCGCCCAAACTTGGAAAGCATCTTTGAATTCATCCACACTTGCTGCTCTAGGCCTGTTTGTGCCTCCTCGAAGGAGACACCGTAAGAAGCAAGTAGTGACTCCAAACAATCTTGGAAGCACTGGACAGGATGGGATTCTGCAGGGAACATTCCCACCAACAGAAGCTGGTGAAATGCAGGAGAACGGCTCGGGGAGATGGGCACTCTCTGAAAGACCAGGCCACTGACTGCGTGAAGAGTACCAGGACTGAAGTCTCCATTCTGGGTGATCTCTTGGACATGCAACGACAGAGACGGTCGAAGTGCATAGCTGCCAGTAAAGCTTTGCTGGTCATCCATAGATTCACAGTCGTGTTGCTCATTTTCACTTTGGTCAAATATATAGGTGTCAGTAGGTTTAATCCAATAGACCTCTGAGTGGGTCAGAGTGGAGTCACATGCCTCTGGCGTTTCTGGTAGGCAGCTTACCAGTTCTGGGAAGTCTTCATTCATAGAGCACACAGGCCAGATTGACTTTAGCTCTCTAAGTAAATGCTCCTGGACAGTTTTCACTGGATGATGTGCCTGCTGACCAAGGAAATCCCTACCACAGAAAGAAAGGTTTGAAATCTGCATCAAATATAGTGTATAATGTACAAAAATTGATACATTTAAATACATGATGCATAAGCATACTGATAAATGTACCGTAGGTGAAAGCCCATCTTTTTTGTATAATACAAGACTGATAACAGATAAGACATAGCTTCACAATGCCACCATTCACAGAGAACAAGGGATCGAGGAAGTGTTTAATAATTAATAAATGCCATGATCATGCAGTTACCTCTAGTTTTTAAATGGTTGTTACTTACTAAAAGAATAGTTTGTGCAAAACAGGATATTCTGTCAACATTTATTGACCCTCAAACGTATGAATTTTGTAAAAAAAAAGTATCCAGGCCTGGTTTGAATGATAACCATTAAATGACAAACCGATAAATATTAAAATTCTATACCATTTTATCAAAATAAAATAAACCCTAAAACCTAAAAATCTATTTTAATATGAGTTTTAAAGTTTAAAGTGAATTTAGGCATCACAACATTATAATGTATGTTAAATTGGTATGAAAAATGGGGATGTTGATTTTAATAAATAGAAATTAGACAGAAAGATTACATTTAACAGCACTATTCAATTACTATTAAGATTAAATGAGCATTAGATGATGGCAAAAGTAATCAAAATGTTAAAAAAAAAGGAAAATTACCATGTGCAATTAAATCTTCTGCATAACAAAGACACCTAAATAAGAAAATCACTAATATCGGTCAATTACAATATGGTACAGCTATTTCATACAACCCTAGCAAAGAGTAACATAAAATTAGTTCATATGACTTGTCTGCTAAGTCTTTTGGGGCCATAATATAGCTTTATGTGAGGAACAGACCAAAGCATAAGTCATTATTCACTCATAATCTTTCCAATGGTGCCATATTTGATCTTCAATCAAATATGGCACCATTGACATTTGGTCTCGATACATGCAAAAATCAATGGCGCTGACATCTTATTTTCATAGTCGATGCAACTTTTGTAGTCCACGAAGCTCGCCAAGTTATTATGCGCAGCACACAAGTTGCATTTAAACACTTCTATGATATGTTCATGGTGTTTTTTTTGCCATTTTGAAGCTTGAAAGATTCAGTCCCCATTCGATCTATGATATTAAAATCAATGGTCAGGAGATCCTTAAAATTTTTTTTTTTTTTTTCACAGTTTCAAAACAACATAATGACGATTCAATGTCACAGGTTTTCTTTTTGGGTAAAGTATTTCTTATGAAGAGACTTTAGAGCTGCTGTTTTCCAGTCAGCAACAAGTTACCTCTTACCTGTTGATATAATTACTCAACTCTGCCGGAAGCTCAAAACAAACTGTCTCCTTCCCAATGGTTTTCTCCATTTTCAGTTTCTCTGGCATGGTGTGCGGGAGACTCCGAGTGAAGATGTGGGTCAGAGCTCCCTCTACATGGAAACCTTTGTCTTGACTCCTTCGCAAAATAATTTTTTTGATGAATTCAAAACTGAATGCCATTACATAACTGTAACTGGACCATTAAAAGTCCAAATTAAACACCATGTTAAATCACTTAGTAGTGGACTGTATCCACTTGTCCAAAGCTGTTTACCTGTAACCAGTACATCTGTAACCTTGATACGTTTCACAGTCAAAGGGATGGATTTCACTGAGAATTAGCCCTGCTTCTGCTGCCATGGCAACCACCTGCCAACTATTGTGCCATTCTCTCATTGGACTGTCACACGGAGTGCCGCCTTGGCCATCGCACAAGGTGACATGCACTTCCCCATTGTCCTTCAGGACTGCAACGGCACTAGAAAAAAAAACACAAAGCATCCATCCATCACACATGCAATATGCACAAAACATCAAAAGACTTCGAAACTCTTGATCCCCTCAGTATTAACATTATATAACACTGGAAGTCAAGCTTATGTAACACCTTAATAAAGACCGTGTTGCCACAAGAGTGTCACACTTACTTTTGGAAAAACTTTACCAACAGGATGCGGTTCTTCTTTACTCCACCTTTACGCCCACAGTGAGGGAAATTGAAGATAATGCAGTCAAAAAGATGATCCTGAATGGCTTCGTGCTCCTTTAGGCATGTGCAATCCACCTCAAACAGAACAGCTGATCCTGCAATGGGAGTTTGCATTGAAGTCAAGGCCTCCACAGAATTATCATACAGAATTCAATGAGGCTTTTAACCCTCCCTGGCAGTTTCATAGCAACCAAATGTGTAAATTCATGGACTTGGCTGCAGGCATGCAAATTCAGGACTATGATACTTGATGTGTGGGAAGAATAGGTATCCTTGAAAATGCTTACATTAGCAGATACTAAACTGTGGCTAGGATGAAATCGAACAAATAGCTTTCAGATACCATGAAAACAAGGACACAAGAAAGCACCGCAAGAGTAAAAACATGCACACAAGACAACATTATCAGAATGAAGAATCACACAACGACAGACCTCTGTCACGGAGTCGCTGTATGTTCAGGACAGCTCCCTGCTGTCTGTACGTTTGGTTCTCGCTTTGAAAGCAAGTGGCGGTCACCCCGACATCGTCGCCTGCGTTCTCGCTCAAAGTCGCCGAGAAAGAGAAGTTGCCTTCCCCTACAAGTAGCACTTCGCGTGTCTTGGACATTTCCAGAAAATTTCAAGTAAACAACCCAGCAAGCTGCCACGTTAGCAGGAGAACAAAACTTTCCCATACATTTGACCGAGGGTCACAGCGTCCCTTCGACTATCGAGCTTGAACTGAGCGTAGAAAGCCTGGCAGGACACACTGCGGCATTAACATTAGACCGCATGTCACCATGACGCCTAATGACGCTCTGACATCTGTCGCGACACAGTTTGAAATCTAATTAAAATACCACAGCGTGTAATGCCGGTGTTTAGGAGCTAACGCAGCACTTGGACACAAGAGATTTGGGGTTTACGTAATAAAGTGTAACTTAATAGAGAAAGAGAGAGGTGCAGTCAGTGCCATACGCTAGCGTGCAGCAGCGGCGAAGTTTCGTTCCCCGGGGAATGCCGCATAGTGTGGAAAACAACAACCGACTCTTCTGTCGCCGTAAACAAGGACACCCGTTACTATGCGCTCGACGGCCACTTCGCAGTTTAGTCAAATAAATATTGTATTTTGTCCTGCAGAAACAGTCCGGTAAAAAGAAAGACGGAAGAAAAAACGATGCAATAAATATATTATGACGAGAAATTCTCTACACTGTGTACATTTTCAAAATAGATCTAATATTTTAGAACCAAAATATTCATGCACTGTCCACGTTCCAGTTTCCCCCCATATGTTAGAACGCAGTGGCTGTGTTGCCAGATCTTACTAGAAAAAAAGCGTTTTGATATACCAAAATGAGCATTGAAATTAAAAATCGAATTAACAATAAAATCTGATTTAATGGTTTCTTCTAAAATAAATAAACATGTGATATTGAGTTTAATTGAAAGTTTAATTGAAATAATTATATTATCTTGTAGAGGCTGCAAAAAAAGACGACGCAAAAAAAGACGACGTCATGTGTTTCCCGGATGCTAAGAATAGTCACACTGAAGTAGCCCATGGTTTTTATAGATTTATAAACTATTGGTCATCTAAATCATGAATCAGTGAATCGTGAATACATCTACATTTATTGGAATTAATCTCTGGTGCAGAAGAGGTATTTGGGAAATTGCTATTAGTGATTGACCGACTTCAAGTTTAAAAACAACAAGTCGTTTATAATAAGCGGGCATGTGGCAACACTATTGGTCACCACGTTTATGCGTAAGAGCGCTTCTTGCCAATGAAGTGTATTCTACCAAAAGAAGGCGGGTCTACACTGTTTGATTGACATATTACATTATTTTACCTTTAAAAAGTGTGACCGCTTTAAATAATTAAACACATGCATGCTGAACTACACTCTCTGACATCCTTTGATTACTTAAGTTAAAAACACTATTTTAATTTATCATTTAAATATTTGTTTTACTTCACGAGCACACCAGGAAGACGTGTTTAAGAAGAAATTGAAAGTGAAAGGTTAGCTTTCTAAGTATAACCAAAAAAGAAAGTTTAGACGCGGAGTTTCATGTCATTTCCTGTTCACTTGCGAGAAGTATTTTAAGGTAAGTTTGTTTCCTTCAGAACAATATAACGTTTTCCTTTAGAATAATATAGGCCATAATCAGTATGTTGATAAACATGCGGAAGTTCTGGCGTATTGTTAATGTTTACACATAATTCAGTTCAAACTTCAAAGCTTGAACTAAACAACAAAAGTCAAAAGGACAGACTGTACTTACCAGTGAGAGATTTGGAAAAACTTTAACTGAATTTCTGTTTCATTTTGAAAATGTTGATATGTTTGGCATAAATGATTAATGAAATGATGACTAATAAATTATTAATGAAATTAGAAATAATTTTCCTTACCAAAGTAAAATTCATTTCTTTATAACAATAAAATGGCATTTTAGACCGGGTAGATGTTGTAGTTTAGACACAATGAAGAAGCTAACATATAGTTTTGATTTGTTTAACATTTTTAGTCACTAAGATACATTTTCATACTTTCATTTGTATTATTTCATGGTTTTGATGACAGGACTAGTATTCTAAAATATGTAAAATATCAATAAAGTTTGAGCAGATCTAAACATTTCCTGGTAGTGTATATTATATCATGGTTACATTTAATCCACAGGAGATACCAAAAAAAAAAAAAAAAAAAAGGATGGCATCCATCCCTTTCTATGGCTGGGAAGCATTCTATGATGAAGATCGTCATCTTCAGGCAGACGAGGCACCCAAATCAGGCAGACTCTACACCATGTATCACGGCACCTCTGTTCAAACGGCTCGTATGGTCATAACAACAGGCTTTAGACAGTCAGCAGATGGAATGCTGGGACCTGGAGTTTATGTGAGCCGTGACCAGAAGAAAGCAGAGCGCTATCCTCTGAAATCACTACCTACGGACAGAGTAGTGCTTAAATTAAGCGCCGACTGTGGAAAAGTCAAAAGAATTGATAAGGACAACCATCCTCAACAGAAGACCTGGCATAGTCAGGGCTATGATACTGCCTGGGTGCCTCCCAACTGTGGCATGAAAGCTGTGCCTAGCGGTCTAGAAGAGGACTGCGTCTATGACCCACAGCGTATCGAGGTCACAGATATTGCTCTTGCACCCAACACGATCATCTTAAATGAACTCAAACAGCTCATTGCTCAAAACAAGAAGGGGCCATCAAATTCGAACACCTCAGGTACTTGTACAGTGTGCAAGTTCAAACTAGGGCCTGCTCATAGTGTACAGTCATGCTGGGGGTGTGGAGAGACTATCTGTGCTCTCCTGACCAAACATGTGTGCAGTCGTTAAGAAACTTATCAGGAAATCATGACAGATGCATCATTCAGGAGGCTCGTCAGGTTTTTGGACTGGTTTGTTGACATGCGTCAATGCATGATGCTTGAAGTTGAGTTGAAAGTTACTTTATCTGTGTATACGAGATTGTTTACTTTCCTCATAGTTCTCAGTGACACAATTATCTTTGACATTTATGCTCTGACAAATTCTTTTTCCTGCTGATATGTGCCACTATATTTGATGTTATATTTAAAATTGAAATGTATATGATCACATAAGACTGTGAATGATCTAGGACTTTTAAAGAGATTTTTTTTCGATCAATCAGGAATAGATTTTAAATGTTTTAAACATTCAGTATTGCAGACAATAAAAAGAGCCTGTCACCTTAGTCATTTCAAGTAGTCCGTGTATATGAATAGATCTATTCCTGATCTAATTACTGAACATATGCAAAAGTAATGAGGATTTCATTTGCAAAACCTCTAGGAATGTTTGCTATGGCTAGTTGCTTTTTATAGGCATACAGGTATATTTCATAATAGCATAATGTTAACCTACTTTTTTAAAAGTTGCTTTGCTGTCAGTAACTATTAATTATTAAGATTTCGTCCTGTTCACAATCACATCAAGAAAAGAAAAAAAAACAGATTTGATTTCATAATATATTCAAGCATTCAGCTTAGAAGATGGAGTGACCAGATTCTTGTCACCAAACTGTGTGACTGCGCAAATATATTTTGAATGTATATTTTTATACTTTTAAATGACTTAATATCTCAAATTTTTATTTAAAAAAAATGAAGTACAGATACATTACATAATATTTAATTATAGAGTTATAGAAATGATTAATTATAGAAATCAAAAATTCTTGCCTTAATTAACACCCTGGAGCAACTGCACTGAGGCCCAGTAACTTTCTGTCACTGAGATTTAATTAATTTACAAATTAGAAACCTATGGGAAACCTATTTCACAATTAATTTTAAAATGTTTTTTTATAATACTTAATTTTAAAACAATCTGTTTCCAAAGAAACATTTCCAGCTGAGAAAAAAATTATTTTGCATAGTTTCTACTTCTCATTTTAAATCCTCATGAGGTGCACCCAATTCTTACAATTAAAACAATCCCACATTTATTTACCAAGCTTTACTGATGAAAAACATACATATTCCATTGGACAGGTATTATAAACCTTGCCAATATTGAACCACTATGATATACAGTTTAAAAAAAAAAAACAGATCTCTGTACAAATATGAATGTGAAGTACACAGTTTCTGTGAAGTTGCAAACAAAAATTTGAAACCACAGGGAAAGCAAGCCACTGTTGTTAAAACTGTCAGTTGTGTTTGCATCAGTAAGACATAGTGAAATGCAAAGGCTGCTACTGTTTTCAGCTGTTTTGTTGGTCTTTATGTTGAATTATGCCTTTTGCAATGAGGTCTGGAATCTCAACTGCAAGCCATGGTCCAAGCTTAGGAAAGAACAGAGATTAGCTATTAATTTGAAACACAATAATGTCAAAGCACCAATTTTAGACACGCAACATAACTTACTCCCAAAGCCATAAGATGAGCCAGACCAAACTTTGGGACATTCCTTGCCCACAGTGGCTTGAAGTGATCTGTCAGACAGATTTTTCCACCTCTGTGACAAAAAATGGTTTTTGAACAATTTAGGTACATTATAAAAAAATATAGTAAATTGAGACAAAAAAAATCAAAACTAGAAACATATGGAGCAAACCTGTACATCTTCGCTGTCTTCCCATCTAACTCAGGAATGGCCACTTCAGGTGCTGTGGCAGGATATGTAACTGGAATCTGGACATTAGGATAAAGATAATTACTCTGGACTTTAACAAAATATAAAATGAAGTTAAATATAATTAAATTTAAAATATCTTACATCAAATTCCATGTCAAATTCATATTTGAGAAGCTCGTGAATATACCAGCATTTTCCAAACCACCTACACAGAAAAGACGTATTTATACAACTCTAAGGCGTTAATGAAAATATTATTACTCATAAAAGAAGAACTAGCAATAAAAAAACTGACCTTGTGCCCTCTTTGTTGGACTCTAGACGGAACCAATCATTGTCAGCTGCTTTGTTATTTTCAACATACTGCAAAACAACACCATTACTTTAAGAAGTGCGTATATTTTGTTATATTCAATTCATATGTAGTTTGTAAACAATACTGATGGGCTGTCAGATGTCAATAAGACTGAACACTTTTAACTCAGTATGACACGTATGGTTATTCATTCATACAGCTAGCATAGTAACTTAGCTCCCTAATAGTTTTGCAACAATACAATGCTACAACTCACCTTTATGAGAGCCAAATATTCTTCTCGAAGTCTCTGAACCCATAGTTCTTTATCTCTTGGTCCTGAATTTGTTTTTAAAAGCGGTATTTCAGAAACCGATTTCCTAGTGGCTTCATCTGCCATGTTGACTCTAGCTATGTCCCATTCGCAAAGAGTCGGATCTTTTTAGTCTATCTCACTGAATCATTGACCGAGAACCGTCTCGTTGAGTGAGTTTATAGTAGAAAAGAACGTTTGAAGTAGACAAAAAGCATAATACATCATATGCTTGCATATTAAATTCTATGACAGTTCTATAAGCACACTTTATAAACAGCAATATGCGCCTACAGATGGCTTTATTGGAACGTGGGACGTCAGGGATCCCGTGATTACGTGAATCGGTTCATTAAAATGAATAGTTCAAAAGAACCGAGTCGCAAAAATGAGTCAGACCTCTCGTCACAGGAGGAACCCAAATAAATGTGCCCCGTGACGTCACAATCTTTTATTTAAGGTGAAGTTTGTTATTAAAAGGGGCTAACAAGTATTATATCAGAAAAATATCATATGCTAATAATAATACAACATTCCGAATACGTTTTATT